ACACATATTCATAGATTTTCAAGGGTACAGGTATGTAGGTCTAGGTGTGTGTTCAGGTCTTTTCCCGTGTAAGATTAAGAGTATCTTAGCAACGTTTCGGTGAGGTCCCACTCGCCATCCTCAGGCTGGTACTTTCGGCTTCGTGCCAGTGCAAGCAGTGTGTGATCGGAGCTGCCGTCTCTCTAGAAATACTGGTGGGGAAAACACCCCCATAACATGAATAAGCGGGACGATACCTCCCACCTACCAGACATCTGGAAACTAGCCCTCACCAACAAACATACCTGTATCCGTGAAAATCTACGAAAACATATATATATATATATTCTTCTTTCCATCTATCATCTATCTATCTATCTATCTAACTAACTATCTATCTATCTATCTATCTATCTATCCATCCATCCATCCATCCATCCATCCATCTATAAAAGCGAAATGCCACTCACACATCATCACAAAATCTCTAGAACCATAAAGCCTACAAACTTGAAATTTGGCACAGATGTTCTTCTTGGCTTCTAGGGGCTCACTAAAAAGGATTTTTCAAAATGACCATCAGAGCATTTAGAGCATTTCCTGTATTATTATTATTAACATGCTCTGATGCTAAGGAGTTCTACTCCCCTCTGCCCACACCTGAAAAGAAATCTCTTCCAAAAGCAAAACACAAGCAGAGGAGTTTCAGTTTTAGTTTCAGTTTCAGAGCACCAAGCAACTTTAATGCAGAATAGTTGAGCTAAGCCCCGCCCAGGCTCCTTGCTGTCTCCTTGCTCACACAGCAAATACTGTTTCACTTTCCAAACAGCCCTCCATTCTCTCACACAGTGACAGGATGCTAGCCAGGTGAATACCCATGGATGCTGGTAGGCAGAGGCACAATTTCCCCTCCCCCCTTATTTTCCTCCCCCAAAACTAAGCCCGATCACATAGTTTCGTAGCAAAACATGAGTATTGAGCTAGTTCTGTATAGCTGCACTTTTGCAAAAATGCCCATGAAGGCAGCACAAGAAACCATGGATGGAAATTTCTGTGGAGCTTCTCAGTGCTCCAGGTCATGGTTGTCCCAAAGGAGCTTTTTTCAGGAAGCAACTGGACTTTCTGGTATTTTCTTTTGAGGACATTTCACTTCTCTAAGAAGCTTCCTCAGTTCTGAAGAAGAAGAAGAATGGAAGAAGCTTCTTGGATGAGAAGCAAAACATTTTCAATGAAACGTCCATGGATATTCTCCGTCATTCAGATCCCAAAGTTGTTTTTTTCAGAAGGCAACTGTTATTTTGTTTTGAAGAGGTTTCACTTCTCATTCAAGAAGGTTCTTCAGTTCTTCAGAATGGAAGAAGCTTCTTGGACGAGAAGCAAAACATTTTTGAAAGAATGTTTATGGAGTTTCTCAGTCCTCCAGGTCGTCATTGTCCCAAAGATGTTTTTTTTTTCAGGAGACAACTGGACTTTCTTGGTTTTTCTTTGAAGAGGTTTCACTTCTCATCCAAGAAGCTTCCTCAGTTCTAAAGAAGAACTGAAGAAGCTTCTTGGATAAGAAGCAAAACCTTTTCAATGAAACGTCCATGGATATTCTCAGTCCTCCAGGTCATGGTTGTCCCAAAAGTGCTTTTTTTTAAGAGGCAACTGGACTTTCGGGTTCTTTCCTTGAAGACGTTTTGCTTCTCATCCAAGAAGCTTCTTCAGTTCTGACTTGATTTGCTCTGCTCTTCTGCCTAGGGGTGGAAACCTACGTGCCTCAGGCTGTTTCTCGGGATCAGCTGTCTACCGAGAACTTAAGCCGAGCCGTTGCACAGAAAATCAGCGCCCCCAACCGAATGTTCTCTGGCCAGCAAGACTATGCAACGGTGGTGGTCGGATTCCCAGATCTCATGGTAAGGATTTTATTTTATTTTATTTTAAAAAAGGGGCTTCGTTGAATTGGAATTTCTGGAAAGTTTGGAATCCTTGATTGTGGGGCTCACCAAGATTTCCCCAGAACATTGTTTGAATGTCAACAGTGGTGCCTGCCCCGGGATGCATCCCTTAGACAGACTGTGAAATCTGGGGAAGTTGCACTGCATCCTGGAATCTCTTTGAATTAAAAATCCTGGAGAAATATGTTTGCAAAATGCAGGAAATGAAATTAACCTTTGATCAGTTTTAAAATGGCTTTGCTTCCATCCATCCATCCATCCTCCTTCCCGTCCTCCCTTCCTTTCCCTTCCCTCCTTCCCTTCCCTCTCTTTCCATCCTTCCCTGCCTACTGTTTTCCTCCCTCCCTCCCACCCTTCCATTTCTTCTTCCCTTCCTTCCATCCATTCATCCTTCCTCCTTCTGTTCCTCCCTTCCTTTCTTCCCTCTCTTTCCTTTCCTCCTTCCCTACCTGCTACCTTCCTTTCTTTCTCCCTTCCCTTCCTCCCTTCATGCTTTCCCTCTCTCTTTCTTTTCCTTCCTCTCTCTCTTTCCCTCTCTTTCTTTCATTCCTTCCATCCCTACCTACTCTTCCTTTCCTCCCTCCCTACTCTTTTCCTTCCTTCCTTCCCTACCTACTGCCTTCCTTTCTTCTTCCCTTCATTCTTTCCCTCTCTCTCTCTTTCCTTCCCTACCTACTCTTCCTTTCCTCTCTCCCTACTCCTTTCCTTCCTTCCCTACTTTCTTTCTTTCTTTCTTTCTTTCTTTCTTTCTTTCTTTCTTTCTTTCCTTCCTTCCTTCCTTCCTTCCTTCCTTCCTTCTTTCTCCCTTCCCTTCTTCCCTTCATTCTTTCCCCCCTCTCTTTCCTTCCCTCTCTTTCTTTCTTTCCTTCCTTCCCTCCCTATTTTCCTTCCTTCCCTCCCTATTTTCCATCCTTTCCTCCCTTCCTACTCTTTTCCTTCCTTCCTTCCCTCCCTCCTTCCTTCCTTTCTTCCCTCCCTCTTCTGTCTCTTTCTCTTTTGACATATACCTAGTTACTATTCCTTTCCCACATTTGTGATTTTTGACCCTTGTAACAGAAAACTTACTTTCTTGGCATCACACCCAGTCAAACGTCTCCCTGTCACTGCTCAGATAGTTCCAATTGAGCTTATATCATTGCATGAACTAGCAAAGAAGACCAGGGTTAGCCTGAAAATCTTTTTCAGGGCCCTGCCTCACTGGGCCTCAGGAGATTGTTCTGGGAATTTGGTATCTTAAGGGCCACCTAAACCTCGAGGCCACCATGAAATGCAACCAGAATGTCACTCAGTCCATAAACCAAAAGTTAGCAGCCATCTATCATGGCAGGTGAACGACACAATAACTTTCATTGTAATTTGGGTTGCAAGATTTGGGTTTGGCTAATCTGGAGAAAAAAAGGACTAGGAGTGACACGAGAATAGCATTCCGGTATTTGAGGGGCTGCCACAAAGAGGGGAGGAGGTAAAATTATCCTCCAAAGCACCTGAAAGCAGGACAAGAAACCATGGATGGGAACTAAGCCACCAGAGATTCAACCTAGAAAGAAGGAGAAGCTTCCTAACAAGGAGGACAATTCGCCAGTGGAACAGCTTGCCACCAGAAATCATGGCTGCTCCATCACTGGAGGTTTTTAAGAAGAGACCGGACAGTCGCTTGTCGGGAAATAGGATCTCCTGCTCGAGCAGGGAGGGTTGGACTAGAAGACCTCCAAGGTCCCTCCCGGATCTATTGCGACGGATGGATCGATCCTGAGCTCTAGAGAAATGCTTAGATTTCATAAAGCCCCTTCTGGGATCTGCTTGCTTAGCGGAATGGGTGGAAGTTTTAGCTGAGGGATGAGATCTTCTTCTCCATTGTCCCTTGGAATCGATTCGAGAGGCTTTCTGGATTTTCGCTCGCCTCTCAAAGTGCCTTTCGTCACCTAGATAGCTTCTGTCTTTCTGGAGTCCAAACTTTTTGTTGCTGTTGTTTAAATTAAAGTATCAACTCATAAAACATTTTTATGAGTCTTTTTAGGGTTGCCAAGAGAAAGCGGGGAGGGGGAAGGGGTTTTGAAAGAGCAGTGCGGCAGCTTGGATATCGAAACTGCATTCCGTAAATGTTTTCAAAGATAGCAACTAGGTGACTGAAGTTTCTGCTAGACAAAATTCTAACTGGAGAACGTGATCGACGTCTCTGGGCTATGGATGGGTCCCATTGGAGAATATGAATTATGATACACCCAGAGGGGTGGGGAAAAACCAGGGACAAGGGGGACAATGAATGATGTGTCTCAGAGTCAGCTACGCCCAGGCAGTGCCGGACATGTTAACTCCCAATAAATCCTTTCGAAGTTTTGGAAGTTTGGCTCGAGAATCAGGATTTAATTGGGGGTCAGGATTCCAGCAATCGCTCTAATTAAATCATGATTCTCGGACCAAACTTCAAGAAACTTCAATGGATTCATTAGAGGCGACATACTGGCCCTGCCCTGTATGAAACTAACTGTGCAATTTACAGTCCCCTGTGATCCTGTTTCCCTCCCCCCACCCGGGTGTGTCATAAATCGGATTCTCCAACGAATCCGGGCTGGGTGTCATCAATCACGTTCTCCAATTAAATATATTTGCAGGCAAAAGCTCTGGTAGTTTAGTTACAGTCTTTTAAAGAGAAGAGTTGGAATGTACTTCCTCTTCCAAATTGCTGCACTGTTCTTCCAGATTTCCTCCCTCCCTCCCCCGCCCCCCCTTTTCTTTATGGCAACTACTAAAACAGGCATAGGAATGTTTTGTGGGTTGACATTCGGCTCCTCTCACTTCTTGAAGGTGACCTGTATAA